AAGCACACAAAAGGCGTAGGTTTGGTCCTCATGTGAGGCTGATATTTTATGGAGCATCTGTTTCTTTCTACTGTGCTGTACACCATTGAGTAGGGATGGTCCTAACACACGGGTCAAGCCGCCTGCTTCCTAAATTTATCGAAATTTATATAGTGTTGGGTAAATGAGTTAAATATTTTATAACTGCAAAGGGCAAAAAAACAGAGCCCATAGAAATGTCAGGCAAGAAGGAGTCCGTGATTTCACTGCCAGGTTGCTTCCTCAGAATGACCAAACTCTATCTGCTAAGTACCTAATTTGGAGAAATTTGACGTCAAACATTTTCAGTTTCTCATCATGTCAAGCTTTTTCAAATACAATTCTTTGAATATCTTGATAATAACTCCAAAATGCTCTTACGCTTTTGATAGAGCAGATGGAACATTGGTTTCCTGACGTCCTGGTCTTAGTAACCCAAAACAGCCAAAAATGTCAGATACAATTTTGTAATTTTGAGATAGCGAGATGACAGTGCACGCTAACCCATTGAAGACACACATTTTTGTCCTTAGACATCGTTTGAGGACGCGCTATTTAAAGACATGGTGAAAAAAAGATTTATTTGAAATCTCAAAACTCCGGCACCAACATGTATACATAATATATACAAGTTCGAGTTTCAAATTTGTGAATGATAGTTAGAAATGTCCACACCAATGCCTGTGGTTTGTTTCTGATCGGATACATTAACGTGACCACCACGTTCTTTAAAGTGTGAACACGTTTGACTATCTTCTCTCGATTCTTAGCCAGAATTTTGGACTGAAAATGCCTTGCAATCACTTCAAGATCGGGACAGGTCGTTCCTTCCAATGATCAAACGACATCTCTGTCTGTCTGTCTGTCTTGGACTGAAAATGCCTTGCAATCACTTCAAGATCGGGACAGGTCGTTCCTTCCAATGCCTCCTTTTTTAGAAGATGAAGGGCGGTATACTTTCACTTTCACCCCCCGCACCTCCCTCCCCTTCCATTGTCATCTGCATTCCCTCCATTCGCTCACGTTGTCATGTTCTTCGCACACGTTTAGGTGGCTAAACTGCTGACTGGTCTCAATCCGTTGTTTACTGGTCTTTTTCTGTTGAAACAGTGGCTATTAACATAATATTCCACGCAACTCACTGCATTGTAGTTCTATAAACGGATGTTAACTGCTGAACAGCTCTAATTAAATACTCTTGAAGTCTGAATAGCCCTAGAAAGCGTTCTTTGCTGCTAAACTTATCAATGAAAATACTGCTGAAGACTTAACAGCTCTGCCAACGGCTCTTGACCGCCGAATATCTCTTACGTATCATGACAGACTGCTGCGGAGCTATATAAAACTGCTGACCCCTCCCCCCCCACCCAAACAGGCAATACTGCTGAATGAACGGTAGCTGTACAGACACATCTTTTACTGCTGAAAATCCGCTTAGCAACTCTCTCGACGGCTGAAAAGCTCTCAAAGAATACTGCTGGCTTCTGTAACTGTAATATGGCAATATAATTTTTTCTGGATGTTTTTTGAAACTGTATTGTAAGGTTGTTCTATCTTTGATCTTAGATATTATAACGACTTCCTAAAAACTGACGAAAGGAAGTAGCCTAATCCACATGATAATAAAACAGGTTGTATGTTGTAAAATAAAAGTTTCCAGCAATCACTTCACTATCGTCCAATTGCTAACGTTTTCAATGTTTGTATCGTTCTTTGTTCCTTTATAGTTGTATTTCTTTGATTCTCAAAGGTGCCAAGATTGAAGTGAGGGAAATAATACTTGGGTAATCTTCTAAGTATATCACACAACTATACAAGCAAAGCTGCATTGTACATACTGCTTTAGTCAACTTTGATAGGGGTGGTCAGTTGACCAAGTATTTCTAGTAGTTTGCAACTCCTTTTCTGTACAGCCCCCGCCCCCCCCCCCAACCACTAGTTATCATGTTCCATCTCCCGCTCTTTTAGAACCGATTTGTCTTTCGTGGATCCACTGATCTCTCGTCTTAGCCCGGGTTGAATCTGCTGATGATCTAAATTGTGTCGAAAATTGTTGAGCAGTTTCTGCTTAGGTTTCTCTAACATGTGTTTTCCAGACAATAACAACACCAAAGACGAAGACGACGACAATACCGCAGGAACAATTACAGAGTAATAAAATCAGCAACATCACTAGAAAAATCAGCCGAAGGAAACAACAAGAAAACAAATAGCAACACCAATAACAGCTACCTCAATAGGGGCCCTCGTGGTCTAGAGGTACAGCGGTCGTCTTTCATTCAAAAGGTCCAGGGATCAAAACCTGACACTGACAGCAATGAAAAAAAGTTCTTCCATGAAAGATTCTCCTTTCACCTCCTTTTCTGTTCTGTCTTATTCTGTCACCCGCTTTCATTTCCACTTTCTGCCCCCAGTCTACCTCATTTGCGCTCCTCTCTCCTTTACTCCTGGCTCCTCTCTCCTTTACTCCTGGCTCCTCTCTCCTTTACTCCTGGCTCATTCTTACTGTTGTCTTTCAGTTTCAGCCACACCCCTGATCTTAGGGTAAGTAAGATCTAACTCCTAGCTTTCTCGGATAAGGGCAAAACATCTTGGAGGTTCCCTGTGTAAGTTGCGCATGTTAAGAGTTCTTTAAACCGATGGTCCTAAGACTGGAAAGAATTGGCATCGGTTGCCACCTGGCAAAGTCACAAAAATAATTCCTATCAAAGCTGAAAGTACTTGAGTCAGTTCTCAATATATAGAGTGCCTTAGAAATCGGACTTTGTCTGCCTGAGAGAGGCAAGGAGTCCTACGAAGTAGGAAAAACGGTCACATACGTAAAAACCAGTTGCACTACAGGCTGAAGAACCAGCAGTCGACCACCGCTGAGAACTAGCAGGGGAGCGCAAAGAAGAAGAAGAAGAGCTACACCTGCATCATTGACAAAAAGGTAGAAGCAGCGACAACAAAAACATTACCAGCAGCAACAACAACAACAACAACAACAACAAAAAGCAGCAAAGAATCAGCACCAACTCAGACGGCTCAGTCAACCTTAAGCAATTAATGAAGGATGCTACTTCGCAAAACAAGCCACAAATTCCGTATATTCTCTTAACCCATGATTGTGGTGACTTCTGGGATGATGATGATGATGATGATGATGATGATGATGATGATGATGATGATGATGATGATGATGATGATGATGATGATGATAATGCTGCTGCTGCTGCTGCTGCTGCTTCTGCTGCTTCTGCTGCTGCTGCTGCTGCTGCTGCTGCTGCTTCTGCTGCTGCTGCTGAAGATGACGCAGCTGTCGAAGCTACTGGTACCCCAGGGTGGTGATAAAATTTCAGGGATACGTGTCATTTTTCAGAAAATGGACAGGATTGCACATTTTTAGACAGAACAGGTGAGTAGTTTTAGTAGATAGATAGAGGCAGAGAAATACAGAGAGACAAAGAGACTGAGAGATAGAGAGGCAGACAAATACACACACACACACACACACACACACACACACACACACAGAGAGAGAGAGAGAGAGAGAGAGAGAGAGAGAGAGAGAGAGACAGACAGACAGACAGACAGAGAGAGAGAGAGAGAGAGAGAGAGAGAGAGAGAGAGGGAGAGAGAGAAACAATTGGAAATCGAGAAGAAGAAAGAGAGGCAGAGGGAAAGAAAGAGAAGGAGATGATTAGAGGTCGAGTGAACGAAGAAAAAGTGAACGAAAAGGTTTGAAATTATATATATTTATTTATATATTCGATTAAAATAGTATACTCTTATAAAAACAAAAACAAAGAATGAACACTAATTTAAAACAACATCTTTGAACACAGGGGTGTGTATCTCTCCTACCTTTGATTACTCTTGACGCTTTGATTTTGAACGAATTTGATAAGGAATTATTATAGTTACTTCTTACTGAGTAGTTCGAAGTTCTATCTGCACAGTACTAGTTTGGAGAACTTTGACGTCAAAGATTTTCTTATATTCTATCAAAGAGTCTACATAACAAGAGGGGGCACTTCTCTCTTTGAGCCAATTAAAAAAGTGTCCGCAAAATTCGGTGGCGCCCTCTTCGCAAAAGCGCACCTTTTGCGAACAGAGCTACCCTACTTGAGTTTAAAAAATCAAAGTGAAACTAGCAAGTTTTTGAATAAATTCCGGAAGAACACTTTTTAAAAATGGTTACGCTAACAAAAAACCTCTTCCGGAGGAAAGGGTGATTGTTTTCTTCGTTTAATTTGACTTTAGAATGAAAGGCTAGAGGTCATTAAAATAAAAAAAACCCCTAAAACTCCACACTGAACGAACCCAAACTGCTGATGAACAGCAGTCGATCTGCACACGCAAGGAGGTGCTATTCCTATTCTTCTTCTGGAAAAACGAAAGAGAGCTTCAAAACAGACTGCAGCGCCATCTGAAGCACATAGCGAACTTCCGGCGGACACTTTTTTGGCTGAGTGGCCCATCTTGTTATGTACTATCTTTGATTATATCAAGCTTTCTCGAAAGCATATTTTTCGAATTCGAATATCTTGATAATGACTCCAAATAATCTTACGATTTTGATAGAGCAGAAAGAACATTTGGTTTCGGACATCATGGTCTCAAAAACTCAAAACGGCCAAAAATATCAGATAGAACCTTGTGATTCTGAATAGACCACAGGTGTCAAACTCCTCAAGGCCCGCGGCGCGGACTACATCTGGCCTGGCGAAAATATTCTAAGTAGTAAGTTCTGAGAATCCCAATGACGAAGAACCTTGCTCTAAGCAACACAGATCGCATTTCCAAGAAAAGTTGACCAACAAATTGGGATAAGAGCAAAAACTGATGAGCCATAGTTTTTTGTTACTATACCTATTATTCTTATGAACGTTTGTCGGTTTTAATTCATATTATTATTTTTAAAAAGGTTTAGTCTTCCACTGCTCAATGAGCGTTTATCTGTTCGGCCCTCATTCGTAAGTCGTAGTTTGACTTTGTCACTTTAGCTCTGGCTGCCATGTGGTTTGACGTTCCCGGAGTAGACGCTAAACAGAACAGGTTACTTAGGCTGGGCGGTAGATGAACAGAAGATCTTCCCGTCTGATTATATCTGGCCATGCCCCCCCCCCACCAAAAAAAACAAAAAAAAACAAAAAAAAACAACAAACAAACAACAAAAAGGAAAAAAAAAACAAACCCCCAAACAAACCAAACAAACAGACAAATAAAAAAACAAACAAACCAAACTAAAATAAAATACAGAAGTAGGCCTATTAAAAAGAAAAGATTAAAAAGTAGGTCTATTAAAGCACAAAATATATATTATAGGCTACATAAAAATATGCTACGTTCTTTAAGCCCAGAGACGTTTTCGAGAGCTATTCTTTACAGTTACAGAATTAGACTTTCGTGGGTACAGAAAGATAATATTATGCGTAGAGAGAATTAATGTACGTAGCAACGTATTATAATGTGTCTTGACGGAGAGGAGAGAGAGAGAGAGAGAGAGAGAGAGAGAGAGGAGGGAGAGAGAGAGAGAGAGAGAGAGAGAGAGAGAGAGAGAGAGAGAGAGAAGGGAGGGTAGGGGGCACACAGAATGACAGACAGCACACAGATCATATTGGAGCTAGAGTTTACAACAAAACAAATTCTCATACGAAGGTAAAGCAAAGCATATCATTTCAAAACGCGTATACAAGATAAAAGTTATTCACTAATCGGCCACACAGACAGAGTGTCTTCATTTAAGGAACTGAAACAGACTTGTTGTACAGCATCCTGACTTGGTAAGGAATAACGCTATTTCTCTTAATTTTAATGTCTTTTTTAAAATGTAGAAATCTACCAGAATTCGCAAATGTAATTTCGTTTATTTCATAGTTTATAAACAGATCTTGGAAACTTCAGTTACCTTTTCTGACTTTAATTACTAGCGTTAGTTTTTCAATTATTTTTACTTTATTCTTTTCACTTTGAACTTTCGTTCACTCTACTTGTGTTTCCTAAGTTCGTTAATTAATCTTCTTTAAGTAACGTAGAAATAATGGCATTTCGAAATGCTTTGCAGTTAACTTGTCATAAAGGGCAGAGGAAAACTGCGCTTGCTTTTTAAACCAATTGTCAAAAAGTTCCAAAGAATTTTCCAAAACCTGTTGGAAAATTGCCCAGGTATTTTTGGTATCGAGTATTTCTTAGGTTGCGTCGACTTGGAGGTCCATGATCGCCCACGCCAGTCAGCAAGGCACCGACCGGATGATGATGATGATCGACTTGAAATTCTATTAGTATAAGTTTAAGCAGTAGACCTCTTCAGTTTAGTTTTAGAAGAGGTTTAACACGACATAAGGTCAAATGAGCGCCAGAAGATTAGAGGTGTTACAAGAGTAACAAACATAAAAAAGAAGAAGGGGAAATAAGGACGATAGATGTTTCATAGGAAAGGAGAAGCAAACCACACCAGAGCACCCGCCAACCACCCATGACCTCTTAAGTTAGCCAGTTATCAAAACTATTATTTTATTTCATTGTATATATATTTTTGGGTGTTTTTTCTGTCATGAAAACCTCCATTTTAAGTTTCTTTTTGAGCTCGACTAAATTGCATCGCACATACACATTTATACAAGGCCGCTAATATATTACTTATTTTCTGGTTCTTCTGAGACTAACTCACCGGACTACTTTCAGCAAAACAATGTACCCTCTCCGACACCCAACCTGGTAGGGAGGGTTTGAACTGGTTTTTAGTGAACACCCAATCAGCTAAGCACATTTGAGGCCGGGATTCTGATTCGACTACAGACCACATAATCAACACCACACTCAAAACCCGCGCAGTTTACCGTACATATGGAGGGCGGCTTATTGAGTAAGTCGTTTCATAACAGAGTAAAACCTGAACAATTTTCCGTCCCCCGTCATCAAAGCTAGCTCGGAAATAACGTTTAGGTGACTTAGTGAACATTTCGGCTAGGGCTAGCATGTTGACACTTCTCTGAACTCAAATTATAGTCATGTGCATCAGCTTCACAGCGAGCGAGGAGTCTGTCAACGAAACACTAAGATTTAGGTAACTTCATCAGAAGGGAATGTCCATTATAAGCCTCTTTAGCGACGATTACGTCTTAGTGTTTTTTTTCAATTCTGAATTTGGATCTTTGGGAGTTTAGAATTGTAGTTAAAAATGTTGTGCCAACGTTTTAACGCCTCGAATTTGGATCTTCGGGAATGTAGAAACTGTAGGTAAAAAGGAAATGCTAACTTTTTACGCCTCACTTTAGCAAACAGTGGCGCGTTCCCTGAAAAAGAGCACGAGGGAAATGATAAGCCACGCACAAAGGAACTAGTCCTTCATGATTGTGGATTGAAAAGATGTCTTAGAGTTAGAGCCTTACAGGAAACTTTATACATTTCAGTGAGGTGAAAGTTAAAGTATATTGTGCTACCTGTTACTGATAGTTAAAAGGAAAACGTAAAGTACGATAGATAGTACGAGGGAGCCTGAATGCTTAACCAAAACGTAATTTTTACGTTATTTAAAATATAGTAGTAAGTGCTGAGGTGAAACAAGAAAGTAAATTCTGGAGGCAATCATCGACCATTGACGTAACCATTGTATCCGTGTATATCTGCGTTAAAGAAAAAAAAGGGGTGGGAACTATACCCCCTCTCCCCCCCCCACCCTAAAAAAAGAACAAACCAACAAAGAACAAACAAATAAAAGCAAAAAATCACAATATAAAGAAGCTAACATACTACTGAAAAGCTAATAAAAATGTCTGTTCTTTTCTGTCATAGGCGATACCATTACTGGAATCTTCCAAAGAAGACAGCTGAGCACAAGGCCACAAGGTGAAGGGTCAGGGTCAAGGTGAGCGCGTGACCTTGACCGCAGGCAGGTTCCCGGAGTTTTCGGAAATCAGCTTCCGTACATGCGGCGGCTTGGGGAGTGCTGTTTGGGGAAGTGG